CCTTTTCCACCTAAAATGGCGTCTTAGCAACAAAAGTCACGTGACTGGCGGAGACCGATTGAATCATTCTAGGACCCCTTTATTTAAAAACAACTTTGAGTAATTTTGCTGTTTTTCTAAAGGTCTTTTTTAAAAATCATTTTATCTATTAGTTTTTCAAATGAATCCTTTTAAGACTGAGTTTTACAAATTTGATTATTTTCAAATTGCGTTTTCCATATCATCTTCTCTTCCCTTCTGGGGGCGGGGCTTTCCTCTGGAGTTAGAAAATATTTATATTGGTCTGCTCGTCTGATTGGTCAAGAGTGAGCCTTTGGATTGTGATGGAAGTGAAACGCACTTTAAAAAGAATGAAATTTGTAAAACTATTTTTTTTTTTTTATAGAAATCTGAAAAAAATTTAAATTATTCTAAAAACAATCGGAGAAAACAGCAAAGTTGGTCAAGAAATAATTTTTTGGATGAAAATGTTTTTTAGAATTTCAGTTCTGGATTGGATTTTTCCAAATTTTAAAAACTAAAAGGAACAAAATTCACTCATGTGGCCCCTCTGGCAAAAATGTTTTGCGGCAACAGCCTCAATCAAACCAAGATGTTCTTTCAGGCCGATCCAAAAGTTTTTCAAAAAGAACCACAACCAGGTTAATTCAGAGCGCTGATCTCTGATCATGTCTGAGCATCTTTGACAAAGTTCTACATGCAGGACGTTTCTGGGAGACACCTGAGCACAGAGGAGCTGCAGCCGACAGCTGGTGGTAAAACCCGATGGTGCCGCTGTGGTCGCTTCTCACCCGGATCTTCTGGGATCTGAAGCGCTGCGCTGGTTTGTTGCTGGCAGCGGTCAACCTGATGTACATAAAGCAGCACAGACCACCAGTAGAAAGGAAAAACAAAGTATATGAAGACAGATTCAAGGACGCGTTGTTTCTGATGGTTCTGATCCTCATATGAGGCACAGAAATCCATTTCAGTCACAATTCAATTAAGGCTTTAATAAATAAACAAATCAGCTTATTAATCATCTAAATATTAACATCAGATGATGAAGGGGGGTTTGGTTTATTACACAAAGTTGGATCAAGATCTTCAAACATCTCAGATACTAAAATTCATCTTAAAATCAGCTGGAGGTGCCTGAATATCACCCCATTTACACTGCCCTTGAAAAACCGTGCTGAGACCGATCCAAGCTCAGTAACTGAGAAAACTTATCGAGCTAGACACAACTGGGCCGCGCTAACTGCAGACCAGTTCCAGAGGTGGGCTTGGCTCGGGTTTTCCCTGGCTCGGTTGATAACAAGAGCGCATGAGCAGAACGCGCCATTCACACTCCATTCCAGCAGTTGGCGGTAATGCCCCTCCGAAGTTGCTTGCCAACACAAAACAGAAGTAGAAGAACAACTATAAACAACAATTGAAATCTTCTCCACGCAATATTTTGATTTGCTTGATTCCCTCCTTCTTCGTCTTCTTCTTCTTGTGTTTTATGGCGGTTAGTAAACAACTTTATGTGCATTACCGCCACCAACTGCTTGATTTCCTCCTTCAATACTGGCAGTAATACCGCAGATTGTCACTAGGAGGCGAGGAGTCGAGGAACAGAGATAGCGTGATGTGTAAACGGTCGTCAGAACCGAGCTTGGCCTGGTTAACTGGTCCGAGCTCGGACCGGTTTTGGCATGGATCGGTTTTTCAAGGGTAGTGCAAATGGGGTATATGACTGAGGTCTGAGGCTAGTCTCACCTGGCCTGCAGGTCGCCTTGGAGACCCAGCAGGATGTGTTGGGCATTTCTGTGGAAGTCGAGCAGAGCGGCGACCAGTGCAGCCAGCTGGGCGATCCGATCCACCTGCGGGGAGAAACATCAGGGCGAATCATTCGGAATCTGATAAGATGAGGGAGAAACAAAAAAAAAAAGAAAAGTCGTGAATCTTTCGACCTCATCCAGGAATTAGAAAGACGTGAAAATCCTGCCAACAAATTCTACCAGGATTTGGGCCGAGCCACCCCAGCTTAGCTTGGCCAAACCTCCCAGCAGAAACTTCATCCAGAGCTTAAACCTTCCACAGGAAGCAGGTCTCGACCAGAATCAGTTACTTTATAGTTTTCACACAAGCCCAGTTTCAGCCATCTGATTTAATGCGCAGTATTCAGCTTGGCAATGATGTCATACCAGAATCTGATGCATCTCAATAATGCAGGTCAAAAACGTTGAGCAAGTCTTCTGGACAGTTATTAAAGGAATAGTGGAGGATGTTCATTTTCCAGGTGGATCATCAAAATAAGTGCTCCTCATAATTTTCAATCATTCTGGTGATATAAGGCCATCCTACGTGCTCGTCCCCATTTTCCCTTACCGGTGGTGAGTCTGACATAGTGGAAAAATTTCAAATCTTTTGGAAAGTAATCTTGTTTGAGTGATGCAAACACTTTTAAAGAGCCCATTTCTTCTTGTGCACGCTCCTGCACACGTTTAATAGGCGTTCCCTCTTGGGAGTGGGTACAGGGTTTTGCATGTGCATTTTTTTTAGGTTTTAAAGTAACATTTTTCACAAAATGAAACATTTTACTTTGGTTTGAGCTACTTTAATGCCCCAAATTTCATCTCCTTATCTACAGTCAACAGATCAACACTTTTATCCAGTGTTTCTCTCCCTGCTGTCGGGGCCTTCTGCTTTTNTAACAAGAGCGCATGAGCAGAACGCGCCATTCACACTCCATTCCAGCAGTTGGCGGTAATGCCCCTCCGAAGTTGCTTGCCAACACAAAACAGAAGTAGAAGAACAACTATAAACAACAATTGAAATCTTCTCCACGCAATATTTTGATTTGCTTGATTCCCTCCTTCTTCGTCTTCTTCTTCTTGTGTTTTATGGCGGTTAGTAAACAACTTTATGTGCATTACCGCCACCAACTGCTTGATTTCCTCCTTCAATACTGGCAGTAATACCGCAGATTGTCACTAGGAGGCGAGGAGTCGAGGAACAGAGATAGCGTGATGTGTAAACGGTCGTCAGAACCGAGCTTGGCCTGGTTAACTGGTCCGAGCTCGGACCGGTTTTGGCATGGATCGGTTTTTCAAGGGTAGTGCAAATGGGGTATATGACTGAGGTCTGAGGCTAGTCTCACCTGGCCTGCAGGTCGCCTTGGAGACCCAGCAGGATGTGTTGGGCATTTCTGTGGAAGTCGAGCAGAGCGGCGACCAGTGCAGCCAGCTGGGCGATCCGATCCACCTGCGGGGAGAAACATCAGGGCGAATCATTCGGAATCTGATAAGATGAGGGAGAAACAAAAAAAAAAAGAAAAGTCGTGAATCTTTCGACCTCATCCAGGAATTAGAAAGACGTGAAAATCCTGCCAACAAATTCTACCAGGATTTGGGCCGAGCCACCCCAGCTTAGCTTGGCCAAACCTCCCAGCAGAAACTTCATCCAGAGCTTAAACCTTCCACAGGAAGCAGGTCTCGACCAGAATCAGTTACTTTATAGTTTTCACACAAGCCCAGTTTCAGCCATCTGATTTAATGCGCAGTATTCAGCTTGGCAATGATGTCATACCAGAATCTGATGCATCTCAATAATGCAGGTCAAAAACGTTGAGCAAGTCTTCTGGACAGTTATTAAAGGAATAGTGGAGGATGTTCATTTTCCAGGTGGATCATCAAAATAAGTGCTCCTCATAATTTTCAATCATTCTGGTGATATAAGGCCATCCTACGTGCTCGTCCCCATTTTCCCTTACCGGTGGTGAGTCTGACATAGTGGAAAAATTTCAAATCTTTTGGAAAGTAATCTTGTTTGAGTGATGCAAACACTTTTAAAGAGCCCATTTCTTCTTGTGCACGCTCCTGCACACGTTTAATAGGCGTTCCCTCTTGGGAGTGGGTACAGGGTTTTGCATGTGCATTTTTTTTAGGTTTTAAAGTAACATTTTTCACAAAATGAAACATTTTACTTTGGTTTGAGCTACTTTAATGCCCCAAATTTCATCTCCTCATCTACAGTCAACAGATCAACACTTTTATCCAGTGTTTCTCTCCCTGCTGTCGGGGCCTTCTGCTTTTTTACCAAACCAGTAGAGTTTCCACTAACTTCTTTTTCACTCCTACTATATTTCAGCTCTTAATATTGCTTCCTAAACCAACATTAGGAAGTTTTATTTATTGTCATTACACTGTCACAAAAAGAGAGCAATGAAATGGTGGGAGTGGCGGCCTAGTGGTTAGGGCATAGGGCTTGGTATCCTGAGGTTGTGAATCCCACAGAATGCCACTTTGGGTCTCCGAGCAAGACCCTTAACTGCTCCCCAGGCGCCGCAAATGGCAGCCCACTGCTCCCCAACTGGATGGGTTAAATACAGAGAGTGCATTTCATTGTGCTGTACTTATGACAGTGTAATGACAATAAAAATCTGGAAAAAGTTTAACCTGTCACATGTTTGAGGCCTTGGTGTCTTTCTGACATCAGGGAAACCAACTCATGAAGAATCCCATGTTCCTCATAAACACCGAATAAAAGCTGAAAAGCAATAAAAATACTGAGACTGGTTTCAAACTCACGTCTCTCTGCAGCAGAATGAACATGCTCCTCTCTGCTGAATCCTTAGACGTGATGAACTTATCCCAGGCCAGCCGAATCTCCTCTGCCGCCACTTTTCCTCTTCGTCTCTTCTTATAGTCAAAATCCAGCCGGCGGCCATTGACCTTCTTCAGCTGATACTGAGGAGGCAGTAAATGGAGCTTCAGAATGATTTCAACCCAGGGATTACTGGAGGTGGGATCTGGAATTGAACACTGGTTCACCTTAATCTCCCTCAGCTCAGCGTGTCGGAGCGCCTGCAAAGGGTCGATGAACGTCTGTTTGATGCCGACATCCAAGGCATCTTTGGCCTGACCGACCTGCTGCAGGGCTCCTCCCACAGCAACCAGAGCGGCCCCTGAACAGGTGGCCAGGAAGAGGAAAACCAGGTGAAATAAGACCAGCGTCTCCGACATGACAAGGACGACATTTTAAAGTTTAAATTCAAGTTTCAGAGGCAGGTACCAAACTCGGAAGCGGCTCCCAGCTCCTGGCCGTAGAACAGCATGCAGTCCCCCAGCAGGCCCTCTGTCTGCGGGTATCCCACCGTCCTCACCTGTCCTCGTATCCTGGACACCGTGCTGAGCATGCTCAGTTTAGCTCGGTAGGCTACAGAGACACAGAGACAGGTTTTTCTTTTATTTTAATGTCAAATCACCTTTTTTCTCGTTCTTCCTGCAGACGTGTCTTAAGATGCAGGAATGAGCTCCGTCCAGCAGCCTCTCTCCTGTTTTTATGGCTAATAATGGTAGAAACATCTTCAGGCTAATCACTGTTTTCTTTAACAGTTTAATTCTAACTTCACCCCTGTCATCAACTGACAACTTTATAAAATTCAATGCTTGACATAAAATGCTTAAAGTCGTAGGGAAGTCCTGTTTACATTTCAAATCATTCTGGCTTAATCATGTTTATAAATGAACTCAGACCGTGTTGTCCTAAAAGTGACGTTTTTTTTTTGTCATTTTTTTGCAGGCAGGTTAGTTCTACGTCAGCCTGTACACC